TAAAATAAGATCACAAATAAAACATAAGAGCAAAAATTATAAGCTTTTAGAAGAAAATATAAGATACTATTTTCATGATCTGGGAGAAGGCAAAGACTTCTTTTTTCTTTTGTAAATATTTATTTTTTAGTTGGACACAATATATTTTTTATTTATTTTTATGTAGTGCTGAGGATCAAACGCAGGGCCTCACACACGCTAGGCAAATACTCTACCACTGAGCCACAACCCCAGCTCCTGGAAGATTTTGTTTAAGTTCTAGTTGAACACAATACCTTTATTTTATTTTTAGTTTTAGATGAACATAACACCTTTATTTATTTATTTTTATGCAGTGCTGAGGATCAAACGCAGTGCCTCACACACGCTAGGCAAATACTCTACCACTGAGCCACAACCCCAGCTCCTGGAAGAAATTCTTTAAGTTCATGTAAACACTACTTTTTTTAAAAATAGAGATTTTATAGTTCATTTAGGGGAAGACGAATCTGGGCCGCACGCATGCCGCTACCGCTTGAGCCACATCCCCAGCCCCTAGGGGACATTTTTCATCAATTGTTTTTTTCTGATTCTTAAAGGAAAAGATAATAGGTTCTTATGAACCTATTTCAGTTAATAGGGAAATTCTGATAATTACCTGAACATGTCGGAAATTAATTAGGTATTCCATTTTATATGGAATTTTTAGCTGTAGCAATTGTGGGCAAACTACATTTGAAGTTGTAATCAAATTTGGCCTGAGAACTGTATTTATACAGCTTGCAAGCAGATGGTATTTTGAAAGAACTGGTTTTTAAAAAAGAATATGCAATGTGGATGTGGTATGCAGAGCCTACAATATTGACCTCTTATGGAAAATGTCTGCCAACCCCTCATACACATTAAGAAATCTTCAAGAGGCCTGGGAATGTAGCTCACTGGTAGAGTACTTACTTAGCATATGCAAAGCCCTGAGTTCGACCCTGGTACCAGAAAGAGAGAGAGGAAGAAATCTTCAAGAATATGTAGCTATTCTGTTTCCGTCAGACTTATTTCTTATTCCCACTTACCCACATCATGGGCATCCAGCTCCAGCCTATTCACTTAACATATAAAATGAACATATAGTCAAGACCCTTCCACCACCTTGAAAACATTTTGTTTTAGTTGTAGTTGGACACAGTACCTTTATTTTATTTTTATGCAGTGCTGAGGATCAAGCCCAGGGCCTCGCACGTGCTAGGGGAGCGCTCTACTGCTGAGCCACAACCCCAGCCCCTTGAAAACATTCTTTTATCTTACCAACAATACATGGGTTTGTCATTTCAGGATTTGGTGATGTTCAGAGATGTGACTGTAGACTTTTCTCAGGAGGAGTGGGAATGCCTGAACTCCTATCAGAGGAATTTATACAGAGATGTGATTTTGGAGAATTACAGCAACTTGTTGTCACTTGGTAAGTTTATCTGGGTCAAATAATTTAGAAATTAACAAGACTGAATTTTCAGGCTCTCTTTGTAAAAAGTAGCTGAATATCTCTTTGATAAAAAGAAGCACTTTTATCTTCTCCCAAAATTCAGTGACCCTTACATCTTCCTTTGTCTATTACTACTGCTTTTTTTTTTTTTTTTTTTTTTTTTTTTTTTTTTTTTGTACTGGGGTTTGGATCCAGGGGCGCTTTATCACTGAGCCACATCCTCAGCCCTTTTTTTATTTTTTATTTTGAGACAAGGTCTCACTAAGTGGCTTAGGGCCTCACTAAGTGGCTGAGGCTGGCTTTGAATTTTCAATCCTCCTGCCTCAGCCTCTGGAGCTGCTAGGATTACAGGTGTGTATTACTATGCCCAACTGTTATTACTGCTCTTTAATGGCATCTGGATATAAATTCTTAAACACAACAAAAGTATTGTCAAAGAAATAAAATTCTATACTACTAGTCCATGTTATTTGTGGACTCACTTGTAATGAGAATAGGAAGATAGAGATTCTGCCTCTGCCCAACTATTAAAAAGTCTTTACATGTACATGGTGATGAGTTGAATAAACAGTTTGTCAAAACCCAAGTGGTTGCCAGGCATTGTGGCACACACCTGTAATCCCAGTGGCTCAGGAGGCTGAGGCAGGAGGATCAAGAGTTCAAAACTAGCCTCAGCAACTTATTAAGACCCTGTTTCAAAATAAAATAGGGCTTGGAAGATGGCTCAGTAGTTAAGTGCGCCTGGGTTCAATCCCCAGTACCAAAAACAAAAAACAAAAAACAAACAAACAAACCTCGATTGGACATATTCAGTTTCCTGAAATAGACATATTAATTTTTTTGCAGTGGTGGGGATGAAACTAGCTGCACTCTATCACTGAGCTACATCCCCAAACCTCCTTTTTATTTTTTATTTTAAGACAGACTCTTGCTAAGTTGCTGAGGCTGGCCTCGAACTTGTGATCCTCTTGCCTCAGCCTTCCAAGTTATTGGGATTACAGATGTGCACTACCATGACCAGCTGACATATTATTTTACAACTTCTAAAATAAATAAACTTTGCATTTAACATTAGGTAAATACTCTGGAAAAAAGCTTGTTATTTTTCTCTCAGCAAAATAATATCAAAAAATACCTAATTAGCATATGGTTGTAAGATACTAGGGAGTTATCTTAACAGACACTAAGTCAAACCTCACAACAATCCCATGTATACACAATACCATTGTCTCCTTTTTACAACTGAGCAAATTGAGGCACAGAGAGATCATATTATTTGCTTTGGTGACCCACCTGTCAGAGGCAGGATTTGAAACCAGTGTTCTTAACTATAATTTTCTCTCAAAAGACAGCCTAGATGAGTTTAAATTAAAATAAGACCATGTCGCTACTTCTCAGTTCTTGTTTTTCTTTGTGATCCTGAAGTAATTCTAATTTGAGTGTTTTTAATCCTGATAACCTTTTTTTGTTCTGAAAGGTTGATCAAATAAATTCTTTCTGTAATATGATCTATTCTCTTCTGTCAAGCAGGATGTTCCATTTCTAAGCCAGACGTGATTACCCTGTTGGAACAAGGGAAGGATCCCTGGATGATTGTGAGGGATGAGAAAAGAAGATGGAGCCTAGGTGAGTGAGTGCTATTTGGGTATTATAGACAGCATGGCACAGACCTGCTGGGAAGATTTGTTAGAAGAAAACATACCCCATAGATCTTGACTGTGAAGAAGAGACCAAAAACTTGGGAAGGAAACTTAGATCTTCTCAGTGTGTCATCAAAGAAACTTCATCCCCACTCAACTTACCCCTTGTTTCTTCTCTCTCACAGTAGGGGAAAACTTTCTTCCCTAATAATAACCATTTTACCTGTATTTTGGATCTGACTTCTTCTAGCTCACCTTTTGTATTTTAACTTTTATATTTTATATTCATTACTCTATTATTTAGTTTACACTGTAGTGGGGTAGTCTACAAACAACAAGTAAACACTGGGGGTGTAGAGTACTTGCCTATCATATGGGAGGCCCTGAGTTTGATGGACAGCACTGCAAAACAGGACAACAAATAAGAGGTTTACCAAATATCCTGCAATGATTAAGTACTATAAAGATAAGTGAATAAGGTAATGATATGGAAAATTAGAATGAGTGATTTTTAGGTAGAGTGTTCAGGGAACAGGAATCAATTTGAGGAAGCTTCAATTGACTAAAGATGGGATCATTTGAGCATTAACACTCTTAATAACAATAATGATAGAATATACTCAGTTCCATAATTTTGTGTGTGTCTGTGGTGCTGGGGATCTAAACCAGGGCCTCAAGCATACTACGCAAGCACTGAGCTGAATCTCCAACCCTCTCCATAAACTCCTAATGAATATTAATAGCAAATTATTGACCATTGGAACATACTCAAGTGTTGTTTTTTAAAAACAGAAACTCAAAGGAAAAGAAGCATTTATCCTCTTAATAAAATTATTCAGTGACTAAATGAAAAAGGAATGATAGAATGTTACCAAATTTGTTTATGCTTATATTTATTTTGTGCATTGTCTCTTCACTTTATTTATTCTTTTTCATTCTTTAATGTTTCTTATGTCAATTTGTAGGGGCTTTTGTGATGTGAACATTTATACTAGGGTGGCCTGTACCCAGACACAGTAGGTTCCTGCTCAGGAAGTGTGAGGTGCCTGGGAAATAAAAAATCTGAAATACAATCGGTAAAACATAAAGATAGAAGCAAAAATTAGATTTAAAGAGAAGCGCCTGATGAGTCTTCCAGTCCTATTAAGAGCTAGAAATGAACAACTGAAAAAAAGGCCCCAATTCTTTATTTAAGGGGGAGTACATCAAATTCAGGGGTAAGGTTCTGCGGGAGGAGTCTTAGTTTAGTTTGGTGCTTGCTTCTTAGTATGGCAGGGGTCTTGTAGTAAACAGATTGATTGGCATTTTGGCAAGCCACACCCATCTCTGGGGGATTGTGGTCCTCCACAAGGTCATTCCATCTCCCAAGCTGAGCTAGAACTTGAGTGGTAAGCTAAAACAGGGTGCCAACCTGAAGTAGGCATTCTCAAACCAGGGGGTTCTGCCTGGGAGTTTTTACAACTGAGTTTCCTTTACTAATGGCTTAAGCATCACTCAGTTTACCCATGGGTCCCTGCAAACATTAACATTTGCTTGCTTTTCTTACTAATGTTTTAGCACTTTATTTTGATTTGGATTATGACTTTCCTTTTTATATTGCTCATTTAACTTGCAAGTAAGTCCCACAATTAGCATCTTAGGTTTATCATACCTTTTTGCTTTTACTGGTGCATGATAGCTGGGTTCATTTTGACATGATCATACATGCATGCAATTTAATCTACTCCATTTTAGCCCCTAGTGTTTCCTCTTACCCTTTTCTCCTCCCTTCCCCTTTTCCCTTTTTCATGCCTTGTTAACTGCCTACTCATTTACTACTATTATATAGCCAGTCATGGTCATCTATCTATCATTTATGTCTTGTCTTATTGAGACCCTAAATTGACTTTCTCCGCAAAATTCTACAAAGTTGCATTTTTTTTTTGTTTTCTTAAGTAGGGAAATAGAGAAACAGACGTATAGTTTTCTTAATAGTATTTTGTGCACCGTTCATTTACCTTTCTTCACTCATATTTTACCCATACTACTGAAATTTTTATAGCCCTTTTAGTCTTTTTAGTATGTCCTTTTTCTTTTCTTTTTCTTTTTTTCTGTACTAGGGCTTGAACCCAGTACCTCATGCATGCTATCACAGAGCTATATCCCTAGCCCTTTTTTCCCCATATTTTTTTAATTGGTGCATTATATTTGTACATATTGATAGGATCTGTTGTTACATATTTGTGTACACACACACACACACACACACACAATATATAACAATATAATTTGGCCAATATCACTCCCCAGTACTTTCTGCCTCTCTCCCTACCTCCCACCCCTTGTATCTCTCTCCTTTATTGATCTCTCTTTGGTTTTTAGGAGATCCATCCCAACCTTTATTCCTTTTTCTTTCTAGCTACTGTATATACTTTTTAAAAAAATATTTAATTTTTAGTTGTAGTTGTACACAATATCTTTATTTTATTTATTTTTATGTGGTTCTGAGGATTGAACCCAGTGCTTTACATGTGCCAGGCAAGCGCTCTATGACTGAGCTACAACCCCAGACCAAAAGTGAATTTTTTTTTTTTTGGTACCAGGGATTGAACTCAGGAGCATTCAACCACTGAGCTACATCCCCAGCCCTATTTTGTATTTTATTTAGAGACAGGTTCTCCCTGAGTTGCTTAGTGCCTCGCAAAGTTACTGGGGCTGGCTTTGAACTTGCGGTCCTCCTGCCTCAGCCTCCCGAGCCACTGGGATTACAGGTGTATGCTACTGTGCCCGGCCAAAAGTGAATTTTTAAAAATAGAAAAAATTTAAAATAAGAAAACTACACAGATCATTAGTGAACAGTTTATTGAATTTTAAGAATGTAATTACACCCATCTTGTCAACAGACTCAGAAATAGAACTTTCCTGGAATCCTACAGCCTCCCCTCACTCCTTGCAGTCATTCCTACACTCTACAGTTAACTACTCTTTGGACTTTAACAACACCATAGATTAGTTTGCTTACTTTTTACTTTATAAAAATGAAATCATACAGTATATTTTGTATTATGTCTGACTTTGTTTACTCACCAGGGTGTCTGGATTTGTCCTCACTGTTGCATGATTGTAGAGTGTTCTTCATTTCTGCTGTACACTCTGGTGCTATGCTGATGTGCCATCATTTCTTAGCCATTCATCTGTTGATGAACACTGAGATTCTTTCCAGTTTGGGCATTTTACAGATAATATTGGTTTATATATATATATATATTTTAAAAATGCTTTCTTTTTAGAAAGCATTAAATTTTTATCACAAAAATGCTAAGAAAATACACATCTTTTTACTCAGAATTTATTCACCTTTTACTATGGAATAAACCTGTTGTTAAGCATGAAAAATTATTAAGATACACTAAGAAGTACCCCCAATGGATTTGGCTATGAGGACTTCAGGGACAGTATGGAGAAGGGTATGGAGTATACAGGTTGAGTATTTAAAACATAGATGTGCATCATTAAATAACTCAAATGAAGATAAATAAGTAGAACTTCTCATTACCTGGTTATAAAAGGAGACAAGTTCTCTCCTCACCATGCCAAGTAGGACTTCAGCTGCAGTGGAGATATCTGCAAGTGTAAGTAGAGAGGCTGTCAAAAGGGTTGTCAGGTGGAAATAATAAAAGAATACTTAAATAAGCTAGGTACGGTGGCACACTCCTATAATCTCAGATACTTAGGAGGTTGAGGTAGGAAGATTGCCAAATCTGAGGCCAGTTCAGGCAGCTTAACAAGACTCTGTCTCCAAAAATAAAAATTAGAAGGACTGGGGGTGGAGCTTAATGGTAGTGCACTTACTTAACATGTGCACTGCCCTGGGCTCAATCCTTAGTATTCAAAGGAAAAAGTGTGTTTAATCAAGGCATAGGTTTGGAGATTGGGCTGCATATTTATTGTTAACTACTTATGGGAATTTAATAATTAGTAGTTACTATGTACTATTAGTCTGTTAATCAGTGGTGAGTGAATATTTGTTTCTGTAAGAAAATAACAAGAATAATCAGCAGGGATATACATGAGTAAAAAAAAAAATTGAGAAAATATTAAGCTAGTAACTAGGATAGAAAATAAAGAACATAAAATAGAAGTTAGCGGGGCTAGTTTTCTGAATTTTCAGATGATACATGACTAGTGAAAGGAATCCAGCCCTGTAAACCCAAGTTGGGATTCCCAGGGGTTTCAACAGCTGATGAAAAGCTGTAAGAAATGAAGATTGTCACATGTTCTAGGAACTGAGAAGGAGGCAAGTGTGACAGTAAGAGAGGCAGCAAAGGGGACACGGGGTGAAGCTGATGCATGATGGTGAGCTGAAGCCCAGCTATTCACGGGGAAGTGTTTACACTTTTTTTTTTATACTTTCTTTTTTATTTTCAAGAAGATAAAAACTACTTATTTTTTTATCTTTCAGAAGATAAAAAAATAAGTAGGGATTAAAATTAAAAATTAAAGTAGGGGGGCTGAGGCTGTGGCTCAGTGGTAGAGTGCTTGCCTAGCATGTGTGAGGCACTGGGTTCGATTCTCAGCACCACATATAAATAAATGAATAAAATAAGGTTCATAGATCTAAAAAATATTTTTAAAAAATTAAAGTAGGGATTCTCAAACTTTAGTCTTCATCCAAATAATCAAGTCTTAACTCACCATTTCTCTATTCCTTTTTGCCTTTTTTTCCAATTATATGATTATTTTAGGTTTATTTAGCCCATTTGCTTCAACTGATATTAATTTTCTGTGGTGTTTTTGTTTTCTATGGTAAAATTTTTATTTGCTTATTTATTTCATCAAGGATAGAAAAATATTGTGTTTATCTTATTTCCTTTCAGATTTGGAATCCAAATATGACACTAAAAAGTTATTTCAAGAAAAGGATATTTATGAAATAAATTTATCTCAGTGGGAAATAATGGAAAGAATTAAAAGTCGTGGCCTTGATTGTTCTATTTTTGGAAAAGACGGTGAATATAAAAAGTTTGAGGAACAAGAGGGTCCTCACAAAGTCAATTTCAGGCAAGTGACAAAAAACACCCCTGAAAAAATACCCACTTACAGAAAACTCACATCTCTTGCTCTATATCAGAAAAGTCATAATAGAGAAAAGCCCTATGAATGTGGGGAATGTGGGAAGGCTTTTAGAGTACGCCAACAACTTACTTTCCATCAGAGAATCCATACCGGTGAGAAACCCTATGAATGCAAAGAATGTGGAAAGGCCTTTAGACAATGTGCCCACCTGAGTAGACATCAGAGAATTCATACATCTGACAAACTCTATGAATGTAAAAAGTGTGGGAAGATCTTTACATGTAGCTCAGACCTTCGAGTACATCAGAGAATTCATATTGGTGAGAAACCCTATGAATGTAAGGAATGTGGGAAAGCCTTCAGAGTGCGGGGACAGCTTACTCTCCATCAGCGCATTCACACTGGTGAGAAACCCTATGAGTGTAAGGAATGTGGGAAGACCTTCAGACAGTATGCACACCTTACTCGACACCAGAGACTTAACATTGGTGAGAAGTGCTATGAGTGTAAGGAATGCGGTCAGGCTTTTCTGTGCAGTACCGGCCTTCGAATCCACCATAAACTCCATACAGGTGAAAAACCCTATGATTGCAAGGAGTGCGGAAAGGCCTTTAGGGTACGCCAACAACTTACACTACATCAGAGGATTCACACAGGTGAGAAGCCCTATGATTGTAAGGAGTGTGGGAAGACCTTTAGTCGCGGCTATCACCTGACTCTTCATCAGAGAATTCATACAGGTGAGAAACCTTACGAATGCAAGGAATGTCAGAAGTTCTTTCGTCGTTACTCAGAACTTATTTCACATCAAGGTATTCATATTGGAGAGAAACCTTATGACTGTAAGGAATGTGGGAAGGCCTTTAGGCTGTTCTCACAACTTACTCAACACCAGAGCATTCATTTTGGTGAGAAACCCTATAAATGTAAGGAATGTGAGAAGACTTTCCGACTGCTCTCACAGCTTACTCAACATCAGAGCATTCACACTGGTGAGAAACCCTATGACTGTAAGGAATGTGGAAAGGCCTTTAGACTTCATTCATCACTTATTCAACATCAGAGAATTCATTCTGGTGAGAAACCCTACAAATGTTCAGAATGTAAGAAGGCCTTCAGACAACATTCACACCTCACTTACCATCAGCGAATTCATAATGTAACTTAGTAATTATAAGAATCCTTCAAATGTCAACCTACTATTAAAGAGCATTAGAAAGTAAATTCTAGAGGAAAATTTTCCAATGTAGGAATCCTTTTTGCTTCATGCTCACAACTTAGTATAAAGTTTGTATTTAAAGAAAACATGTTAATTTAATGACTATGTAGAAGCCTTTTTTCACATTCAAGCCATGTTAAACTATAGGAAATTCACTCTAGAAAGGAACTTTGTTAAAGGAGGGTGAAAAAGCTTTTGTCCTTACCTTTTATCATCCCTATTCTTCTATCTGTGTAGTGTACCTATGAAAGTTGACAGGGCACCATCTCATTCTGAAAATAGATAAATAAAAAGAAAGAAAAGTCATTTAGCCTGTATTTCCTATGTAAACTGTATTTCAGGAAAACCAGAAGTTGACGAAGTAGTTGATGATGTAGAACTAATTCTTCATAGAGGTCAAAGCCAGTAAGTGAAAGGTTGACTTGAATGTTATGGTGATGGATCAGGCTGTCAACATCTGAATCCACTGATCAGAAGTAGGACAAGAAAATGTTCTGTGCTTCCTAATGTGATGCAATGAAATACAAACATCTCACCAAAAATGTTGAATGTGAATTTAAGCCTGAAAATCCAACTCCAAGTTTAGAAAAAGTAGGGAATGGAAGAACAAATTCCATGACACAACAAAAAGCAAATGTAAATGTGGGTGTTCTACAAGAGGAGTGACCCGGCTTCTCGACCAATAAAAGAACATTGAAAAAAGGAGCTAGAACTCCTAAGATATTGAAAAAACTTTAGAGACATATCAATCAAATGCAATGAATGAATGGTTCTTTTTCAGGTCATGACATTTTCATAGCAACTGAGAAAATAAGAATGTTTCTAGTAGTAAATTAAGAAACCATGTTTTTATTGGGTGTGGAGAATAGCATTTTGGTTATATAAAAAAAGTCTGTTCATTAGGGATAAATTCTGAAATTTATATATACAAGATGTTGTGATACCTTGAATGTTCTTTAAATGTTCATTCAAAAGAAGTGAGGGCCAGGCATGGGAGGACACGCTTGTAATGCCAGCAGCTCGAGGGGCTGAGGCAGAAGGATCACAAGGCTAGCCTCAGCAACTTAGTGAGACCCTGTCTCAAAATAAAAAGGGCTAGGGATGTGGCTCAGTGGTTAAGTGCCCTTGGGTTCAATCCCCCATACCAAATTAAAAAAACAAAACAAAACAGAAAACAAAGTGAGGGGGATAATGTAAGTTGGGTAAAAAGATAGCCAACTAGATGTTGGGTGCATGGTTTCTATTTGTTTTGTTTTTGTAATTCTGAGTTCTTATGTATTTGAAAATTTCTAAAATGTTCTTCTAAAGAAAATTAATGATGAAATTATAGCCAGTTTGAAAAGGATAATTTTTAAATGCCTAATATTAAAATTTTTGGATGTTGCCAAAGGTCTACACATTGGCATATTAAATACACTATAATGTATTGAGAAAGTTGTGACAAAGGTTTCAAATTTTGCTTATTCACATCCTGTCTCTGTATCTATTACAGTACCTGTCACACAGTAGGCATTTCATATGTACAAAATATAAGTGAAGAAAAGCAGTGACTATAACTAAATGTGGAAATGTGAATTTGACCCGCACTAATATTGTAGTCACTAGCCACATGTGGGATCACTTGAAATTGAGTGTTGAACACTTGAAATGTGACTAGTCCAAATTAAAATGGTGTTAAATGTAAAATACAAACAAGATGGTGAAGATTAAGTTCTAAAAAAACAGTTTTTCTTATTGAAATGATAATATATTAGATATATGGCTCAATACATGATACATTTTAATGATATAGTATAATGAATTTTAAAATACATTCAAATTAATTTCATTACTTGTTGCTTTTTAATGTGACTATTGGAGAATTTTAAATTATGTGGTTTGTAGTACTTGTCTATTATCAGCATTGGTATAAAAAATAAAAATATAGACTTTAGCCAATGGCGTTTTCTTTTAAAATGGCATCAATACATCAAGAACTTGGTAGTTTGCACCAAAAAAAAAAAAGGCAAATAAAAAAGATAACAAAATTAAAGCTATATGAATGGGGAAATGACAGTGATGGATTTTTTAAATTATAAATTATCTTTGCTGGGTGTGCACATCCCTGTAATGCCAGCAGCTTGGGAGGCTGAGGGAAGAGGATTGCAAGTTCAAAGCCAGCCTCAGCCAGGTGTGGTAGTGCATGCCTATAACCCCAGTGGCTTAGTTGTTGAACACTCAGAGGCAGAAGGATCGCAAGTTGCCAGCCTCAGCAACAGGGAGGTGCTGAGCAATTCAGTGAAGCCCTGTCTCTAAATAAAATACAAAAAAAAGGGGGGGTGTTGGGAATGTGGCTCAGTGGTTGAGTCCCCTGAGTTCAATCCCTGGTATCCCTACGCATCCACCCCCCCCCAACAAAAAGGCAGCCCCAGCAGTTTAGTGAGGCCCTAAGCAGCTTCAGGAGACCCTGTCTCAAAAATAAAAAGGGCTAGGTATGTGGTTCAGTGGTTAAGCACTGCTGGGTTCAATCCATAGTACAAAATAAAAAGGTGGTTCTGGGGCTGGGGTTGTAGCTCAAGAGTAGAGTACTTAGGGCTGGGGATGGGCTCAAGCAGTAGCGCGCTCGCCTGGCATCCGTGCGGCTCTGGGTTTGATCCTCAGCACCACATACAAATAAAATAAAGATGTTGTGTCTGCCAAAAACTAAAAAATAAATATTAAAAAATTCTCTCTCTCTCTCAAAAAAAAAAAAAAAGAGTACTTGCCTAGCACTTATAAGGCACGGGACTTGATCCTCAGCACCACATAAATAAATAAAGGCTTTGTGTTCATCTACAACTAAAAATTTAAAAAGGTTGTTTTACTCTATAAGTATTCAAAAGTGTGTATTCTTATATAGAGTATATATTTATACACTGTATTGTATTTTTAAATATCAAAAAGTTATAATTATTTTCTGGAAAAAAATTTCAAAATTGTCTCAACATGCTGAAGAAAACTTAAGTAAACAATAAATGAAGGAAAAATTAAGACAGTTTAAAGAAATCCCTTCTAAAAACTTACATTTAGAATCTGATTTTTTTATGAGAAAAAAACTTAACTACATCTTTTCTAACATTCTACAAGACTAACCTAAAACTGATTATAAACTAGATGAGGGGGCCCACAAAAACAAAATGTAGACTTTCCTTATGAAGATAAATCTAGTAATTAAAACTTCTAGTAAATAAACCACTGGATAGTGGTTTATTTAACTAAATATAGAATAGTAAATTATGTGTGGAATATCTTGGGCCTGATTCATCCTACCTTAATTATACATTGCAGGCATTCTACCTTCAGTAGAATTCTACCTTTACTTTTATTACAGTAAAAAATCCAGCCCTAGTACCTTAATTCTTTGGGGGGTTTTCTAGCTGTCTGTATGAAGAATAGAATGAATTCTGTGTTTGCAAATTTACAACCAAATGCTTTTAAATTCCTTTGTCAAAATAATGAAGACAATTTTAAAAAATACTTTTATCTTTTTTAATGTGGTACTGAGGATCAAACCCTAGTGCCTCACATATGCTAGGCAAGTGCACTACCACAGAGCCACAGCCCCACCCAAAGACTAAGACTAGAGTGACTGCACTGTAGCCATTCACTGAACTGCATTGCTCTTGCTATGACTAGGAGGTAGTGAAATTCAGCGTATTGTAATGTTACCATATTGATCTCTCAGCTTCTCTTCAAACATACTACAGAACAAAATTTTAAGTGTTTTTTACTTACATCTAGCATATTGACCTATTTAGGTCTTCAAGATATGACAATTAATCCAACATTTCTCAAATGGAGTATGAAACTTGATTGTATTTGAAGATATTTTCCAGAAAAAGAACTTAAAAGTATGTTCTGTATATTAAAAATCAATTCATTTTTTAGAAATAAAGCTGTAAATTTATCCAAAGTATGAGAATTCATTTGACTTGACTTAACCTCGAGAGCACTTTACCATGTCCACTTTGACTCTCAATATCTATATGAAGGTTTCTTTGGAATATGAATCCAAGTAAGCAGATATTGCTATAAGCAAAATAGGTGATTGGGGAGATAGGAAAATTTAGACTTTTTGTCAAGTGGTTAGCTATGTTAGAGGGTGGTATAAGGTATGTTTCCCTGGATGTAACAACATGTCTTATCATCATTTATTTCTGAAGATTGGATTGATGATTTTCTTTAGAAATGAAGGTCAAAAGTCAACCCAACACTGCAGTGAGAACAACCTGACTATGCAACAATACAGATGAATCTCAAAAGCACAATATTGGGCAAAAGAAGATAGGCAGAAAAGAGAACTTGATGTATGTTCTAGTTATATAAAATACAAAAATTCTACACAGAAGCCAGGATAGTGTTGGGGAGGTGGTGTGTGGCATTCAAGGAGTTGTTATGGAAACAGCGTGGGGTTTTTCTGAGAATGTGAGTAATGTTTTGTCACTTGAGTTGGGTGCTGATTTAACTAATGTATTCAGTTTTTGAAAATTCATCCAACTATACATCTATTTATACACACTTATGTAACAGCTTCATTTTTAAGTTATGGGAAGGAAAACCAACAGTTCATATTAATACTTTCAATTCAGATTAATATCATGATTTTTAATCTTTGTTGTAGCTTTTTTTTTTTTTTTTTTGGTACCAGGGATTGAACTCAGGAGTACTTGACCACTAACCACATTCCCAGCCCTATTTTGTATTTAATGTTTAGAGACAAGATCTCACTGTGTTCCTTAGTGCCTCTCTTTTTGCTGAGGCTGGCTTTGAACTCATGATCCTCCTGTCTCAGCTTCTCAAGGCGCTTGGATTACAGGCATGCGCTCAGCTGTTGTAGCTTTTTCTTTTACACTGAAAAACTTGATTTTCAACAATGCAGTCATTGCTATGTTCTATAAGAGGCACAAAATCGCTACAGCAACTTAATACCATGCTAATACTAATAATAAATACTGAGTGAAATTAAAGCTATACATCACTACCTGTCCTTGAAATATTCACTAAGAAAGTAGAGTCAAAATAGTAGGGGCTGGGGTTGTGGCTCAGTGGTAAAGTACTTGTCTAGCTTAGCATGTATGAGGCACTGGGTTCAATCCTAGCACCACACAAAAATAAATAAATAAAATAACGGTATTGTGTCCATCTACAACTAAAAAAATTTTAAAATAGTTGTTTTAGCTAGTTTGATTCACAAATTCAGTGTTTCTTTTATTTTCATTGTTTAAGGACTGATATTTTTTTAAACATTTATTTTTTAGTTGTAGGTGAACACAATACCCTTATTTTTATTTTTTTCTGTGGTGCTGAGGATCGAACCCAGTGCCTCACGCATGCCAGGTGAGCACTTTACCGCTGAGCCACAACTTCAGCCCCAAGGACTGCTGTTTTTAAAAATATTTTTTTTTAGTTGTTGATAGACCTTCATTTTATTTATATATATGGTGCTGAGAATTGAACCCAGTGCCTCACACATACTAGACAAGTGCTCTACCAATGAGCGATAACCCAAGCCCCAGGACTGCTGTTTATATATCCAAGTTAATGTTTTTAAAATGTAAAATACTTCCATGACTTTAAAGTTAAAATCATAAAACAAAGTATATTTGGAGAAATTTTGCATTATTCTGTATCCCATACAACCCATTTCATCAATTCCCCTTTAAAAAGCCTGTTATCACTTTGTTTTAATTTCAGTTTTCTTGGGCTGGGGATGTGGCTCAAGTGGTAGCGCGCTCTCCTGGCATACATGCGGCCCAGGTTCGATCCTCAGCACCACATACAAACAAAGATGTTGTATCTGCCGATAACTAAAAAATAAATATTAAAAAATTCTCTCTCTCTTTAAAAAAAATTTCAGTTTTCTTAAGGAAAACTTACCTATTCTGCCTATTGTTTTATAACACATCACCCAAAATTGAGTACCATAAGGCAACTGACCATTTTATTATGCTTATAGGTTCTGTGGCTCAAAAAAAAAATACATAGAGGGAAAAAATGTTGATTTTGACTCAGGGTTTCAGAGGTTCAGCCCATGATCCATCAATTCCATAGCTCTGGGCTAACATCATGGTGGAGGGCAAGACAGAGGGAAGCTGTTCAGGACATAGCAACCAGGAAGCAGACAGCTCTGCTCATCAGTGACAAAATATAAACTCCAAAAGCACATGCCCATTGACCTATAGCCATACCCCACCTGCCTAAAGTTACCACCCAGCTAGTTGATCCATATCAGTGGATTAATCTGCCTATTAGGTTATACCTCTCATAACCTAACTTTACTCCTAAAAAATTCTTGCATTATCTCACTACATGAGTTTTTGGGGGACACCTCATACCTAAACCACAACAGCTAGATATTTTATAAAGAAAAAGAGCTTATTTAGCTCAGTTTTGGATATTTAAGAGCATGGCTCCAGCTTCTGCTGGGCTCTGGTGAGGCCTACTATGGCTGTCATGACATAGTGAGTGGCGTCAGGTCAGAAGCACATGCAAGAGGGAGAGATGACAGGGCGAGACAGGAAGCCAGAGAGTGAGGAGGGACCTGTCTCTTATAACAACCTACTCCTAAGGGAACTAACAAGGATCCCGTGAAAACTATGTTGATCTCTTCTGAGGGCAAGTGTCCCAATGACTGGATTACTTTGCACAAAGCCTCACTTCTTAAAAATTCCACCACCTCTCACCATTGGCCACATTGAGGACCAAACTCCAACACAGGAATCCCTGGGGGACATACTCAAACCATATCCAAACTTATAGCAAAATGAGACTGAGATTTTCAATTTATCAATCAAACAAAAAAATTAAGATCTGGGGGCTGGGGCTGTAGCTCAGTAGTAGAGCAATTGCCTAGCATGTGTGAAGTGCTGGGTTCAATTCTTAGCACCACATAAAAATGAGGCAAATAAAATAAAGACATACTGTCCATCTACAACTACAAAAATGCATTTAAAAAGGCATTAAGATCTCTAAAGTAGCAGAAATCAAAGTTATAGTGATAAAAAGAACTATGGGCTAGGATTGTGGCTCTGTGGCAAGTGCTTGCCTAGCATGTGTGAGACATTGGGGTCCATTGACAACGGAAGAAAAAATTTAAAAAGAAGAACTGCAATTTGTGGTGAGACTGAGCATCTGATTTCCACCTATCTCCTCCTTTATTCATTCATATAAATCTTTTTCTTTCCTTCGTTTCCATTCTTTCTTCCTTTTCCTTTCTACCTTTCTTTTTTGCAGTACTGGAGATGGAACCCAACACCTTGCACATGCTAGGCAAGCACTAAGCTATGGCCTCTGCACTTTTTATTTTGAGGCAGGGTCTCACTAAATTGCCCGAGCTGGTCTTGAACTTGAAATCTTCCTTTTAGACTACTAGTGATGTGTTGGTGTGTGGAGGAGAGTGGATGAGGGTCACAAGTAAATTTTATGGAGTGTTAAGAAATGATCTACATCTTGATCTGGGTAGTGGTCACCACAAAGTTCCAATTTGTAAAGAAAAAAAAAATAAAAAATCATCAAACTCTGTATTTAGTGAACCTTATGAACATTTTTGTATTTGTGTTCTACCTTAATTTTTAAAGTCAAGGGGGAAAAGCCTAGAAGAGTTAATGGTAGCCTTTTAAAAATTTATTTATTTATTTTACAGTAGAATGCATTTTGGCATATTGTACACAAATGGAGCACAACTTCTCATTCCTCCAGCTGTACATGGTTCAGAGTCATTCCACTAGTGTTAGTGGCAGCCTCTTGATGGCTCCCTTAAATATATATAGCTTGATGTGGATGTGTCCTGGGCGCATGGCCCTTCAACAAGGTCTGCTGATTGGCAGTTCTTAATCTCATACTAGGTTTGATAAGTTAAGTTTTTAACCACCAAAAAGAGAAAAAGAGAAAAAAAAAAAGGTCTAGATCTAGTGGCATAACTTCAACGTCTTTATTCTGGGTACTGAGTGGTGCATGCCTATAATCACAGCAATTTGGGAGGCTGAAGCCAGAGGTAGGCAAGTTTGAGGTTAGCCTCAGCAATTTAGTGAGACCCTCACACTAAAAATAAAAAGAACAGAGGATGTGGCTCAGTGATTCGGTACCCCTGGTTCAATCTCCAATCTCCAATCTCTGCCCTCCCCCAAAAAAGAGAAGATGGGGAATGCCAGGAACTGGGAATATGGAGCGTTGAGCCCCAAGGCCTCTGAGAGTTGTGAACCTGGCTAGGAGGGCTCCACTTGGGTAAGTGTAGTTGCCTGCTGATCATGGCCTGTGCAGTTTTATCATTTCAGATGTGGAAGGTCAAGCAGGTTCCAGGAGCCCTGAAAGAGGTTCTGTATGGGTGAAATGACCTCCCCTATGCCCTGGAAAGGCCGATTTCCTCCCTCCCTCCCTCCCTTCCTTCCTTCCTTTTTTTTTTGTACCAGTTTTTGACACCAGGGGTGCCTAGTCACTGAGACTCCCCCACCCACCCTTTTAATATTTTATTTAGGGACAGGGTCTCACTAAGTTGCTTAGGGCCTTGCTAAGTTGCTGAGGCTGGCTTTGAACTGGAAAGAGATTGGAACAGGCTTGTCACAAGTACCTCTGGGGGTCCCAGAATGGGGAACTGTCTGGAAATCCTGCTGAAGTGCTCAGACCTCTGTTTTGATGCAGGACAAACTCTGCTAAGGGTCCATCGGTTTACATTAGGTGTGGCTAGGATTGGAAGGGATTTCTTAGGTGTTGTGAGATTGAACCCAACTGGGATGTAGCTCCTTTCAATGGACAGGTCTACTGTCAGCTCTGGTGTAGTGCTCCCAGCTGTGGGGTGTCCACCAGTTTCTGTGGGTCATGTTGAGGTAGAAGAAAATAAAAAAATAAGTACAAAGGAGTCAAAAGGAAGGACAAGGGCTGGGGTTGTAGCTCAGTGGCAGAGTACTTGCCTAGCACGAGTGGGGCACCGGGTTTGATCCTTAGGACCACATAAAAATAAACAAATAAAATAAAGGCATGCTGCCCATCTACAACTACAAAAAAAAAAAAAAAAAAAAAGGAGGGAAAAAAAAGGGAAGAAAGGACAAGGGAATTATAAATAACCTAAAAGGCTTATGTTAAAGTTCAGCACACATTTCCTCCCCGGGCCAGTTCTCTCTCCAAGGCCTGTTACTACTAAATTTCTGGGAAATCTATATTTATAAAGTTATTGGAATTCACCCACTTATGAAAATTTCCTTGTACATTATTGTGCTTTTTTGTTGTTGTTTGTTTGTTCTTGTTACTGGGGATTGAACTCAGGGGCACTCGACCACTGAGCCACATCCCCAGCCCTATTTTGTATTTTATTTAGAGACAGGGTCTCACTGAGTTGTTTAGTGCCTCACCGTTGCTGAGGCTGGCTTTGAACTTGTGATTCTCCTGCCTCGGCCTCCTAAGTTATTGGGATTACAGATATGAGCCACCGCACTGGGCTCAGGTTTAGTCTTAACTAATTTATTTTGAATGCTTTCCTAAATAAATCTGTGCCTCTAATGGATACATCCTTAAAGTCATTTATGCAATGTTTGTCAAGAACCTCACCCATCCTAATTTGAGGCCCCCCTCCAGTGACTCCTTGGACCTCTTAGGGTGACAGTGTAAAGGTGGGGCCACAGCACTTGATCCAGGTAGTTGCCACACAACACACCCAGAAGCAGCAGGGGGTACCCATTAGGGACTGAGTATTGCACCAGAAAGTTTGTAGCAGCAGTGACCATGATAGGGAACCTGTTAGTATCTGAAGGCTGCATAGGTGGCTTTGCAGGGAACTTCACAGCTGACCTGCTCAGGGAGATCTGCCTAGATGCTTCCTGGGCCCCCTGGGGAGGTCTAGCATCTGTTCTTCAGGGCCTCAGTGGGCCTACCAGGTGCTAAGCCACCCAGAAAGGTCTGTTCATCTACTTACCCGGCACAGGTGAATGGGCAAGGCTGCTTGCTGCTTAGGGTGCATGGGTGAGTCTGTCTGTTTTCTGGGGTCTTCTTCAGGCCAAGTCACTCAAGGAGGTCCCAGGTGCTTCTTGAGGATCTCTTGGGGATCTCTTGGGGTCTCAAGATGAGTGGGGGAAGACACAATGTGGGCTGGCCTCTTTCTCCCACAGTATAGCAGTGTGGTAGTCTAGCAGCACCCCTATTCCATTCCACAACTTAACATTCAGAGTCACTCCAGGTGAACTGGGCTGCATGAAATAATCATATAAGAGACAGAGATACCTTTTGCTTTGGGTCCTGTGATGGCTCATCTGACCTTAGGGGTCTTTAGAAAGAAAGAGAGCGAGCGAGCGAGCACATGCTGACACTTTTATTGAGGAGGAGCCATTCAAATGAGGCAAGGGGTCAGATTTGGGGGAGGGGTTGAGTCTCGCTCTGTGATGTCTGCTGTCAGTAGTTGACTGACATCTTGGAAGGCCACACCCAAAGGCAGAGCAGGAGAAGGGGACAGGGGACACACAAAGGGAGTTTCGATGGAACATTCTATCCCAAACAGGGCAAAGGGATAAGATTTCAAAAGAATAGGTGAGTGTAGCTCAACCCCAGGGATATGTGTACTCAGAAGACTGGCCTTGCTATCCGAGTTGGGGAAAAGACTCAGTCATGGCACTACCATGCCAGACTAGAGTGATCTTTAGATCTCTGTGGTACATCAGGATTGGAAGGCGTGGTAACTCAATGTGGCTCCCCAAAGTGGGCTCAGAGCCTGTGAAAGCCCTCCAGCTCTACATCCTTCAGGTGTCACACACACAAGTGGGGACTGCCAGGGGCTTCCTGCTTAACCCTTCCCTGCTGAGCCAGGTCCCTCTTAGTACAGGGTTGATCTCTGGAGGCAGGGAGCAGTAGGTGCCGTGTTTAGTTCCCTTTTTATAAGGCCACCATGTATCTCCATGCTCAGCAACATTTCTACCACATCCCCACTGCAATCTGATGATATGCTTCAAACACTACAGAGAAACAGGTGTTGATTCCCCACCGTTTTGGTCCTTTGTTGTGGAGGTGTGTGCTGTGTACCTCTAATCAGTTATCTTATTTCCACCTCTTGCCTTGGTTCCTGATGAATGGGAATGTTACTATGCTCTTCATTAAATGAGATGTTTTTTATAGGTTTATGCTTAAATTAAAACAGAAATCCTTAAGTAAGAAATTATGGCTGGGCGTAATGGCACATACCTGTATAATCCTAGCGGCCAGGAGGCTGAGGCAGGAGGATCGAAAATTCAAAGCCAGCCTCAGCAAAAACGAGGCACTAAGCAGTTCAGTGAGACCCTGTCTCTAAATAAAATACAAATTAGGGCTGGGGATGTGGCTCAATGGCTGAATGCCCCTGAGTTCAATCCCTGGTATCCCCCACCCCCCCACACACACACAAAAGGGAAAAAGTAAAAAAGAAATTTTGCTGGGCACAGTGGAACATGCCTATAATCACAGCAGATCCACACACTGAGGGCTGGGGTTGTGGCTCAGTGGTTAAGAGCCCCTGAGTTTAATCCCTGGTGTACACACACACACACACACACACACACACACACACACACACACAGTATGTAACTCCTATCTGGCCTTTTGTTGAATAAGAGCCACCACACTGTTTCTGTTTCCATTTGGAGTCCCCTTTCCTTATCCATATATTCTATTTTGATACCACGTGGAACTTTATTTTGAAACACTGGTCTTGAGTTTTTGTATTCAAGTTTATTTTAAAAACCAATTTGTTTGCCAACTTTTTCTCTTGTCACTTCATTTATATCGTTTACTTATCTTTATTTTCCAATAGCCTCCAGGAATATATTAAAAGAAGTTTTCTGAGATGGGTAATTTAAACAAGAGTTTGGCATGGTCTGGCAGTGCAGGTAGGTACAAAACTGTTCTAGTTTTGAAGATCTGCTCCATTGTCTTCTTACAAGAGTATACTTGTAAAAGACTAATGTTAATCTGTTCCTAATTCCTTTGTAGGCCAATTTTAAAATCTTTCTTGAAGATTTTATATGTTCATGCCTTTATTTTTTTGGAAATTTTGCTAAATATGCATAATATTTAACTTTTTAAAAGCCATAAATTATTTTATTTACCAATGAAAGTAGTGTCAATTAAAAAATGGCATTTCACAGATATAAGACGCATTCCAATTTCATAGATGCTAAGATGGAAAATATGTGATAGAATTAATATTTCAAATTTTACTAACTTGATAAGTAATTTGAAAGAGGGCTTCTTAACATACTTTATTCTGAGGTAATTTTCCTTGGTGATTACTTCAAGCATTACCTCTCAATTCTATTGTCTTCTTAGGATGCTATTCAATGGATGTGGGAATTTCTATTTCTGTCTTTCATGTCAAGTTGTTTTATGAATCTTTTTATTTCATCTGGTTCCTTCTGGATTGTTAACCTTCTGGCTTCCTAATCCATATTTCTGCTGTGTGCATTTTGATTTTCAGTCCATCTGTATTGAAGCTTTTTTTTTTTAAAGTAAACTTTATTTTTACGTGATACACAGATACACAGGAAGTTGTAAAGATAGTTCACAGAAGTCCTGTATACACAGTTTTTGCCAATGGCTACATCTCACATTATTACAGTACAATATCAAAACACAGCATTTGACATTGATACAATGTGTGTAGATAGTTATATGCCACTTGATTACATATGTACATTCATGCAACCACCACTGCCAATCCAGATCCAAAACTATTCCATCAACACAAAGCTCTCTCTCACTGTACCTCTTCATGATCACATCTGTTCTCTTTCCCAATCCCTGGTAACCACTAATGTGTTCCACCTCTCTATAGTTTTGCCATTTCAGGAATGTTACATAAGTGGAATTGGCCAGTGTGTGATCTTCTGAAATTGTCTTTCAACATATGGTCTTGAGATTTAAGTAGTTGCTGTGTGTATCAACAGGACATTTCTGTTTAATGCTGGGTAGTATCCAAATGTTTATATGACTTATAGTTTTTTTATTGAGACTTGTTTTGTGACCTAACATCATCTATCCTTGGAGAACATTCCATGTGTACTTGAGAAGAAAGTACATTCTATTGTTGTTGGGTGGAACATTCCACAGATGTCTGTTAGGTCTGGTTTGTAGTATTGTTCAAGTTCTCTATTTCCTTACTGGGTTTCTGTCTAGTCGTTCTATCCATTGGTAAAAGTGGAGTATTGAAGATTCCTGTTACTGTTGGGCTGTCTATTTTGCCTTCAATTCTGCTAGTATTTGTTTCATGTACTTTGAGACTCCATTGCTAAGTGTATAGGTTTATAACTGTTATTTGTACTCCATGGGTTGACCCTTTGATCCTTAAGTAATGTTCTTTGTCTCTAGAAATAATGATTGACTGAAGGTCTATTTTGTTTGATATTTGCATAGCTACCCCAACTCTCTTTTAGCTACTCTTTTATAAAATATCTTTTCATATCCTTTTGTTTTCAATTTGTATCTTTGGATTTAAAGAGAGTTTCTTGTAGATGGCATAGAGTTCGATCATTTTAAAAACTTGTTTTAAAATCCATTCTGCTTTCTTCCTTTTAATTAGAAAGCTTAATCCATTCCCATTTAATGTAATTTCTGATGAAGAACATATTTCTATCCTTTTGCTATTTTTTTTAAGAGAGAGTGAGACAGAGAGAGAATATTTTAATATTTATTTTTTAGCTTTTGGCGGACACAACATCTTTGTTTGTATGTGGTGCTGAGGGTCGAGCCTGGGCCGCACGCTTGCCAGGCGAGCGCGCTACCGCTTGAGCCACATCCCCAGCCCTCCTTTTGCTATTTGTTTTCCATGCCTTACTGTTTTTGTTCCATAATTCCTCCATTATTGTGTCCTTATTAGGTTAGATGTATATTTTTCTTTTCTTTTTTTTTTTCTTTCTTGGTACTGGGGATTGAACCCAGCAGTTCTTAACACTAAGCCACATCCCAGACCTTTTCATTTTTTACTTTGAAAAAGGATTGTACTGAGTTGCTTAGGGCCTTGCTAAGCTGTTGAAGCCAGGGATGTAGCTCAGTGGTACAGCACATGTTTACCATGTATGAGGCCTTGAGTTCAATGCCCAGCATCAAAACAAACAAACTTAAAGATTCTTTTCCAAGAGCTGAATTGTGTGTCTCAGTTTAGATCCCCTGAACTTATCCTATTTGGGATCTGTTAAGCTGCTTGGGCAACCTATATGTCTTGTTTTTCATCAAATTTTTGGAACTTTTCAATCATTAGTTCTTCAGATATTCTTTCTGTCCCTTTTTCTGTCTGAGAAACTTCTGGATACCCTTTATCTATCCATAAAACAAATGCATATGTTTGTGTCCATTCTTAGGTTTGATGATATTCAATAAGTCTCTGAAGATCTGTTTTTTTTTTCTTTTACTTTTTTTCATGCTTCTAAGACTAGATAATTTCAGTTGCCCTATCTTCAATTTGCTAATTTTTTTTCTTCTTTCTGCTCGGATCTGCTGTTGAATCCCTCCAGAGAATTTTTCATTTTGGTTATTATACTTTTCAAGTCTAAACTATTCAGTTCCTTTTAAAATTTTCCATTTCTTTATCAATATTCTCTATTTGCAGAGTCATTGATCTCAATCTTCTTTAGTTTTTCATATGTGGTTTCTTTGAGCTCACTGAACATATTTAATACAGCTGATTTTAAACTTATGTCTAGAGGCTAGGATTGTAGCTTAGTGGTAAAGCACTTCCCTAGCACATGTGAGGCACTAGGTTTGATCCTCAGCACCACATAAAAAATAAATAAAAATACAGTATTGTGTTCATGTATAACTAAAAAAAAATTTAAAGACCTTTTGTCTAATTACTGTTTTCTCAGTTCCTATTGATTTTCACATATGCTTCTGGTTTGCTTGCCTGCTAACTTGTGTATGTGTGTGTTTGTGTGCACGCATGCACTTAAAATTGGACATTGAATATTATCATGTGGCAACCCTAGAAATTAAGAGTCTGCCATCCTGTAAGTTTTGTTGGTGTTGCTGGTTGTACTTTAAGTGACTTTTCTGAATTAATTTTTACAGTCTGTATTTTTTGTCGTGTGTGAACACTGAAGTCTCTGTTCCATTAATTCTGTGCCCAGCTAGGGCTAACTTAAGTGCCTGGAATAAAACAAAAACTCCCAAGCTAGGGCTAACTTAAGTGCCTGGAATAAAACAAAAACTCCCAGTCTTTGCAGATAGGCTGTGTGTTAGGGCACATCTTCAATCCTCAACCAGTTTACAATTCTGACTTAGCCTTTACTTTCTGCTTGTACAGAACCTGAAGGTCTGACAGAAAGGTAAGAGCTTATGGCCACCCCAATTTTTTTCCTAAATATATGCTCAGTCCTGCTTATTCATGTGGCCTTTTAAATTCCTAGGAATATTTGGGAGCTTTTAAAAGTTCTTATTCCCCAAAGTATCTTCCTCTTTATCCTTTCTGGGGCAAAGAGGACTGTTCACTGCCTGATGGAGATGAAAGGCCCTGGATTCACAACAGGCTTTTTTTTTTTCTTCCTATCTGGCGGGACATTTGGATACTCTATTATAGATTGCAAATGTAGAAATCTAGGCTCTTCATTTGGATTTCCATGTCAGGAGTGGTGGTAGATCCACAAATTTTTTTTAAAAAAAATAACTCTTTTAAGAATATTGTGAAGAGAATGAAGCTACAACTACAGATTGGGAAATATATATATGTATATTTGCAAAACACACATCTAACTAAGGGACTAATTTCTAGAATATGTAAATAAGTTCTAAAAAAAAAGTAAACAATCAATTCATACACTTAGGAAAAAGACAGGAAATGTAAGATATCACGAGATTTTTTAAAGAGGATATATAGATGGCAAAGAAGCACAAGAAGATATTAAACATCATTAGTTATTAGGCAAATGCAAATTAAAATGACAATGAAATATTACTACAGACTTATCCAGATGACCACAACAAAAACACAGTGACAAAGCCAAGGAAGGAGGATGGACAAACTATCACATGTTGCTGGTGAGGATGACCAATTGGCACTACCAATCTGGAAAACTGGTAGTTTCTTAAAAACATAAACATGCAGATACCATAATATCAAGAAATTACATCACTGGGCATCCTTCCTAGAGATATGAAAACTATGTTTACATAGAAATCTGCATATGAATATTTTATAGTAGCTTTATTTGTAATAGCCCCAAATTGGAAACAGCTCTGATGTTATTCA